TAGAATATAAGAATAGTTGTTCAATTTCAAAAAAAAATGAAAAATTGGGAGCTCAGTGGGACTACGGCGGGTCGAACCCGACTCATAAGGGCCATAGGAATGTGTGCTCCCGACTGCGTCACAACCACCAGTGCTGGCCGGCCGGAAAAAGCTATTTATCCCAATCCAGCCAGAAAATCCTGCCATCAGGCGGGTTTTTCGACTGATAAACAAATATTCAGTGATGGGGACAACACGTACACGGAGAACATCACACTGGATTATTACAAATTACGATTCGACGTGAGTTTTTTAAAGAATAAAAAACCAAAGTCAAAGCCAAAGTCAAAGCCAGACTTTGACTTGCCTTGGATAGCCTTGAATTTTGACTTTTCAGTGCATTTTCCCATTTCTAGAAAGCCAGCCACTGTCACCGTGAGCACCCCATCCGCCCTCTTCTCCACTGCCACTTTCACCGTTCCTCCACTCCAAAATTCTCTCGTAAATCTTTTCCAGTTCCTCAAATATTCTTTTCTTCTTTCCACTCTTCTTATCAGTGCCAGAAAATTCAAATCACTGCCCTAATTAGTTCAATGAAACACCAAGAAAGGTTTTTGGTGAGACTACGCCTACAAAAGGAAGAGTTTTCAGTTCAATCTTCCACCAGAGATCCAGACAAACTATCGAGATCAACACGTTGGTTACTTTCAAACTACGAATCGGAGTATCACGGTTGTTGCTGACACAACGGTGAGTTGAAGTTGAGCTGGAGTTGTGTTGAGCTGGAGTTGTGTTGAGCTGGAGTTGTGTTGAGCTGGAGTTGTGTTGAGCTGGAGTTGTGTTGAGCTGGAGTTATGTTGAGCTGGAGTTGTGTTGAGCTGGAGTTGTGCCCATTTCTGTCTTACATAGTACTTTATCAGATTACTAGATTTACTAGATTAATCTACATTCAATTCAACGAAAACTTTGATAAACACAATTTCGTTTTCCGTAACTAAACGCGGATAGTGCCAGTCGATAGAAAACATTTTCAGGTGACTGTCGTCGTTCGAAATGCGCACTCAGATGGTGTCTCTGAGGATATGTATACAGTCTATCCGGTGAGCTGGAAATCTCTCTAGTCTGCAGACTGGATTTGCAATTTACCCCAATAGTGGCCTCTCGAAAAGAAAAGCTTCTTGTAGCTGATGGCTAAAGTTTCTGTCTCTTGCAAAGGATTGCCGTAAATTTAGTTGCGATAGAAGTTATGACATTAGTTCGGTGTAAGATCCTTTGCGCTTCTTAATGGGTTCATTCCAAAGGTTTACCAGCGCCAATTTAGAATTCAATTCTTTTTTCGGGCTCTTCTTTCGCGCTGTATAAAGAACATGTATTCAAAAAGATATGTCGGGAGACGATCTTTTACTGTTTCCCACATTTATCGGGTACTTTAATATTAACAGAAAACATTGCTTTAGCAAAGCATTACGCTGTATAAAGTACCCGCTTTTCTTAAGGTACCCAATTTTTTTTAGGGTATTGGGAAAGAGCTTTAACTAATCATCGAGCTAATCATTGACTTCAGGTGTGCTCTCTTGGCACCAGTTATCGTTCAGTTGGTGATGATGCAGCGAGAAATAACATGAGATCGACGAATATCTGGTCAGTGGTCGCTACACAAGATGGGACACAAGTGATTGATTGATTGATTGAAAATGAAGATTTGTTTCTCTTCTAGGTGACCACCTTCCCTCCACTCACAAATCCCGCAACAGTCACCATCAACGCCGGTCAAGTGCTGACTATTGCTGTCAATGTTATCCCGTTAACAAACTATCAGATTACCACTAATTTCCCTGTCGGTGAGTGGAGGTTAAAGGTCACAAGGCTGTGCTGAAGGCTGTGCTGAAGGCTGTGCTTAAGGCTGTGCTTAAGGCTGTGCTTAAGGCTGTGCTTAAGGCTGTGCTTAAGGCTGTGCTTAAGGCTGTGCTTAAGGCTGTGCTTAAAAGTATTGCAGCTAGATTCAATTCAAATAGTTGTATCACTAATCTCTTTACTTCTTACTTTCAAATCTCTTTTCAGCCGTGATCTCGGGCGCTGTTTGTGGTTTTGGCTATTGGAATCCACTGATTTGCAACTACGAGGTAAACTTTTTAGCTTATTAAACGATAAATGACAAAATTTACAGGCAATTATGCTGTTCCCAATTCAAGACTCGGGTCTACTCTTCCCATACACTCAATTTATTTCCGAGGATCGCGGTGAGGTCATGCTTTTTTCACAGGTGAGAGAAATGAAGCTAGAAGAAAACCAATCACTTTAGCTGAAAATTTACATATCAATTCTTTCAGACACAAAACACAACGGTTTATGTCAATGGAGTTGCTCAAGGCACGCTTGCTGGAGCTCAAGCGTCAGTTATATTCGAGAATCATTTTGCAAAGGACGTTTAGCTATTACATTTTCTCGATTCTTGGTTCGGCCATGATCACAACGAGCAATCCTTCGTATGCTGTGGCGGTAAATTCATTTATTACAGTTCATTGCATTTACTAGACAGATGCAGGAATGTTGTTAGACCAAAATCAACGCTCTTGGCTTGATGCTGTTGAGTTGGTCTGGTAAGATCAGATCCGAAAGACAATGTTTAGCTTTGCTTTGGTTGACTAACTAGGGAAAGGCGACAGGTTATTTGGCCTTTTTGATGCATATTTGAGAGAGTTTACAATGGGGATTCCGAATGAGTTTTCCGAATGAGCTTTTCGAATGAGCTTTTCGAATGAGCTTTTCGATTGAGCTTTCCGAATCAGCTCAGCGAATCCAATGGAGCTCTGTATTGTATTGATAAATCCGAAAGGACTTTTCCACCAACCCAATAAGATACCTGGCATCAAAATCTGATGTGTTTAGTTTGTGCTTAGTAAATTTCCATTTCGTACCTTTAAATTTTGTCGTTCTTTCTTAATTTCAATCAATTTTCCTAAAAAAAGCAAAAAAAGTTTGAGCCCGGAGACCTAAGAAGGGTTCTTCTGGCTGAGAAAGGCTATCGACTTACCTCTACTCTAAAATACTGTCAGATTTCAGATTTCGAGTAAACTTTGATGCCAGATATATTCCGATACAGAGCTCCATTAGAAAAACTAAAATCGGATTCGAAATTCTCATTCAAGCTCTATCAAAAGCTCATCAAAAGGTCATTATGACTTAATGCCTTCTCTAGTCCTTACTAGGGAAAGGACTAGGGAAAGGACTAAGGAAAGGACTAGGGAAAGGACTAGGGAAAGGAATGGCCAGTAAGGAATAAAACCCAGATCCCAGGCCAATCCAAGGCTAAACCAAATTCAATGTAAGCCATTTGCTTTTTGGAAATGGGAAAATTTAAATTCAGGTGTCATCTATTCGAACTGATGGTCAAGGCTCTCCTTTCCTCGTTCACATTCCCTCCGTTTCACAATTCACAAATCAAACCTACATCCAGGTAATGAAGGCAAAAAGTCGATGAATAAAGATTTCAGGTGACAACTGGTTTAACAGGTAGATCCCCAGCTTCTCACTATATTCGTTTACAAACCGATCTCCCTTCAACTGGAAAGTTGACTGTTGACAATTGGGTGGTGAGCCCACTTTTCTACCAAAGGTTGGTCACAAGATGGCATTCAAATCAAATGATAAAGTGTACTTTGTTCTCTGCAAAACAAACCCTTTCTAGTGCACTGTTTGTGACAAATATTACTGTAGCTAGGGCAATAGCTGGGTATGCTTAAGCGGGTATGCTTAAGCGGGTATGTTTAAGCGTATGTTTAAGCGTATGTTTAAGCGCAAAAGTGTACCCGGGAAATCAATGATTAGGGAATCCAGTTCAGTACAGTAATCCAGCTAATTAGTAGCTTTAGACAAGGCAAATCAACCTATTACGTGGCCGATTTCCCCGTTCAACCCGGCACTCACGTCATTCAGTCGACTGATCCAAACGTGAAATACGCGGCAACGGTTTATGGACATGCCGCATTCACCGCTTATGGATACACGCCTGGAATCGATATCCCAAGTAATTCAATAAAAATTCAACAAATAAATGTAAACAAATGTAAACAAATCAACTTTAGCCACTGGAACATGCTGATTCATCTACTTATTCATCGACTTATCCATCTCCTCATTCTTCGTTTTTAGATTTTAAAAGAATAAAGCTTTTTCTGAATTTAAAACAATAATCTTCTTTGGCTTTTCGATGTTTTCCTTTTCAATTTTGAGTGTTCAGTCTTTTTTTTGAGAAAAGAAACCCTTTTCCCTCTATTGAAGAAAAATGAAAAAGAGCGGTGACTCATTGTTGTGCAATGCATTGCATTCCAGGAACGCTTTCCTTTCTCCATTGCAATGGGGAAAGGAAAGCGTTCTTGGAAAAGATTTGAACGCTTTTGTTTGAATTTTAACAACTTTCCACAGTCAATAGCTGGGTGATGCTCTTTCTCTTCCCCTCTTCTTCCACCTTCTTTCTCGCTACCAGAAGCAATTGCCGTGGCTCAGTGGTAGAGCGTCTGTCTAGATTGAGGGTGGAAGGCTGAGGGTTCAATTCCCCTCCAATCCCCTTTCATCGCCATTTTCTTTTGAAAAGGCTAAGGTGTGAAATGAACAAACAATCTAAAATGAACAAAGAGAAGAGCAAAAAAAGGCTTTACGAGACTAATGAGGGAAAAGGAAAAAAGAGGTAGAGAGTAATAGAGCTGTCTGTCTAGATTTAGGGTGGAAGGTTGAGGGTTCAATTCCTCTTCAAGCGAGAGGGATCTTCCAGGCGTTTTCTCACAGTTAAACTATCCATTTTTCCATTTGAACATTTTAAAGTTGTTTCCAATTTGAAAAAAACGATAATTTATTTAACATTCATGTTCATAATATGCACAAAGAGAAGAGCAACCCGTTAGAGTTAGAGAAGAGAATGAATGAACCGTAGTGCAAGTGAAAGTTTCGAGTAGAAAAGAGAAGCTAGATCAATCTTGAGTTTAAATGAATTTCATGTACACTACGAGACCATTGTTCATCTACTTATTCGGATTATTGCTCTTCTTTCGTATATCAGTCGATCGACAATCTTTCTTTCGACATTGAGTGGCTTTTGGGGGAAGACGAGCATAGCAACGGCGACAGACCTGGGAAATCAATGAGTATTTATGCCAAAACTTGACGTACTTACAAAGACATACGTACAAAGACGTACTTACAAAGATGTACGTACAAAGACGTATGTACAAAGTCGTATGTACAAAGACGTATGTACAAAGACGTATGTACAAAGTCGTATGTACAAAGGCGTATGTACAAAGGCGTATGTACAAAGACATACGTACAAAGACATACGTACAAAGACGTACGTACAAAGACGCACGTACAAAGACGTATGTACAAAGACGTACGTACAAAGGCGTATGTACAAAGACGGTTTTTAAAGTATAATTTCAAGTCAAGGCTATCTATTCACTTGCTAAACCAACCATTTTGTCGACGTTATGCTTGAAAGCGAGTTCCTTGTCCTTCATGCTCATCCATTCTAAAAAGAAATAGGTTAAAATGGTGAGCTAATGCTTTGAGAGTCAAATATTTCACTTCAACAATTCAAATTATTCAAATCTTGGAAAGATTGGAAAGATAGGAGTGTTTCAACGTTGAAATATTCAATTTTCATTTCAAACCTCGATTTCCTCCTCCAGGCAAACGAGGGATCAAATGAATGGATGATCCATTGTGAAGCCCGGACTCTTCGGCCGTGCTCAACTCATTCAAACAACGACCTGAAATTGTTTACGTTATTGATCAACATGATAAACTTAATTCTAACTCTAGTTTCATGCCTAAATGGTTCCAATATGGTTCCAATGCTTGAAACTCATGTATTGTTCAACAAATATTTTCCTAAATCAAACTCCAACACCAACCTTGATGAGTGAGATAAAAATATTGGCTTTGAATGGAGAGTCTTGAGGCAATTTCCTCTTTCAACTCTCCGATTTGCATCTGAGTTGACTCAAAGCAAAGACTCTGAGTTCCGTCGTGGGTTTTCACGAACAACTGCATGATTGGTGATCTGGAAAGAGTCTTGATAGCTTGATCTTGATACTTTTGATGGACTAATGTTTGATAGAGTTTATATAATTGAGCAAATCTTGCAAGCTTACAGTAACAAACAAAAGAGAGAGAGAGGCAAAAGCTATAGACAAAAGTTAGAACTGTTAACGAGCTTCAGAGTCAAAGCTGAGAGTTTAAAGTCAGATATAATCTGATACATTTGATTTATTGTAGTCCAATAAGGCAATTCGAGAAGTGATGCATGATAAAATTGAGTAGCTTTGGGTAAATCTAACAGTAAACTTACTCTAAAGGAAATCCTCTAACGTGAACTTGATTAGATTGGGCAAATCTAACAGTAAACTTACTCTAAAGGAAATCCTCTAAAGTGAAATTGATTTAAAAGATTTAAAAATTAATCTAAGAAAAGAAAAACGTGGTTTCAAACAAGCGCAAAAACTGAGTAATTTAAAAGTAATTTAAAAGTAACCAAAAAGTAAACGGCTGTTTTGCAATACTCGATGAGCTTTCCACACCATTATATGTGATTCTCGTCGTCGATTGCACAACATTGAGCAATGGGTCTTTATTCTTAGAATGTTGTGCAATCACATGGATTTTCTCTTTGATTTTTCGAAAATTTTTGAAGGATTACGGTAGTGAGTCATTCTCTTTTTTTGGGAAAAGAGAAATGCTGGGAAAAACAGAGAGAAAAAGGATTTCTGCTTAATAAAAAAGGAGTGGATGTCTTTGAAAATCATTGAAAATCATTTTAAACACCATTTTTGAGTCTATTTTTATCTAAAAAACATTATTTACGCTTAACTGCGTCTTGAATTTTCTCTCTTGAATATTTTGTGTCTTGTTTTGCCAATTTCATCTTATGCCTGTTACCCCTGTCCTCGTATTTATGTACAAATACTGTACTAATTGATAAGATTTTTATTCTTGTATTTAATTCAGATATATCGTATTTTCTCTAATACAGTGCGGTGCAAAGCCATACGCCACCCCCCTAAATTTCAATTTTCTGCGGCTCCTGTGCCAGTGACAAAAAAACTGAAAACATAGTCAGATTCAGGACCAAAAATAACCCTTAAACCCCAAAAATCATCGACACAGCATGAATAGGGAAAATGTAAGAGCCAAAAAACGAAAATTAACCCGGTGCAAAACCATACGTCACCCCCCAAATTTTGGTGTCGTTGTTGCATTTTTGTTCAATTTTTATGATAACAAAGTTTATTTATAACAATAACAGTTTAACAGTACAATAACAATATTTTGATGTCTGTCCCTGGCGACTGATCACGTCAAATATTCGACTCGGCATTCTGTCAACTAGCTTCTTGATGGTGCTTCTTGGAATGGCATTCCACTCGCGGGTAATGGCATCTTTGATTTTTTTGGCTATTTTTGGCCCTGTATCTAACTACGTTTTCAGTTTTTTTTGTCACTGGCACGGGAGCCACAGAAAATTGAAATTTAGGGGGTGGTGTATGGTTTTGCAGTATCCCAGCGTAGTATCCCAGCGTAGTATCCCAGCGTAGTATCCCAGCGAGCCGAGTTAGTGACTATTTGACGGTTTCAAAGTTTTCACAGAAGCTCAACACTCAAATCCCCCACTAGATCTCATCGTCAGCTACATTTTCCGACCCCACATCGATAGGTTCTGATAAGCGGTTCTCGAGATTTCGAGGAATTTAGGCGACTCTCAGGGTACTATTAGAGAAAATACGGTAATCAGTATTATAAATGATCTAGTTGACGTGAAAACAGATGATCATCTTTTTCAGAAGTGTCACGTTTAGGTCCTTAAATTTTTCAAAAAGATTTGCACAAATCGTTGATCGAGTTATTCTATTAGGTTGTCGGATTATGAATTGCCGTTGTCTTTTTTGCTTTGTATTTTTTTTCAAATAAATTTTTGTGGTACTTTTTTTAACTATATTAAAGAGCGTTTTATGCCGCGCCGATTGATATATTATTCGTCTATATTTGCTTAGATTTTTAATATAAATTTGTCTCAGGAAATGAACGACATCAAAAATAAAATGCGGATTTGTTTGTTCTACGACTTCAAACAAAGAAAAACAGCGGCAGAATCCCATCGCTCTATAAGCAATGCATTCGGAGAAGATGTTATCAACGAACGTCAATGTCGCAATTGGTTTCAGCGCTTTTGGGACGGCGACGAGAGCCTTGAAGACAAAGAACATGAGAGGCGACCAAAAACTGTGGACGATGAGGAACTTAAAGCAGCCAACGATTCTGATCCTGCCCAAGCGACACGAGAACTTGCTGAGAGGTTCGGTTGTCATCATTCCACCATTGCTGACCACTTGCATGCCATTGGTAAAGGTGAATAAATGCGGTAAATGGGTGCCTCTTGAACTAAGCGATTTGAACAAAACAACGCGAATCAATTTGGCCGGAATTCTTTTGCGTCAAGCCAAGAACAGTGGTTTTTTGAGTCGATTGTCACGTCTGATGAAAAGTGGATATCCTTTGATAATACCACAGAAAACGACAATGGTTGGACCCTGGACAAACCCCAAAACCGACCCAAAACCAGACATCCATCCAAAGATGACGCTATGTGTTTGGTGGAATAGCAAAGGATTGGTGCATTTTGAAGTACTAAATTCTGGTCAAACGGTTAATGCGGACCTCTACAAAGAACAATTAAGCCGCGTCGATCAATCGCTTCGTCGACAGGGAGTGGAAACAGCGTCAACAAAATTGCTCCATGACAACGCGCGTCCACACACCGCAAAAGTAACTCTGAAAAAATTGAAGAATTGGGCTGGGAACTTCTGCCTCACCCGCCATATAGCCCAGACCTTGCGCCATCTGATTACCATTTGTTCCGGTCGATGCAGCATTCCTTGGCCGAAAAAAAATTCAAAAACCGCGATGAAGTCCAAATTTGGGTGGCCAATTTCTTTGAGCCACAGCCGGTCGAGTTCTTCAACAAGGGCATTCATTCTTTGCGTGGACGTTGGCGAGATGTCATAGATACCGATGGAGAATACCTTTTAGATTAAAATATTTTTGTATTGATTTTATAATAAAATTTCTTTTTGATAAAAACGGGCAATTCATAATCCGACAACCTAATATTTTGTAGTAGTTATTAAGAGCTTTCAAATGAGATTCAACTAGATCAGCTTTCAGCTCCAGAATTCAGCTCTTAATGACTCTTCATGGGTGTCAAATGGGTATACTCTCTTCATTTTCTTCTTTTAATTCATCGATAAGCATCGGTTCGATAATTTTACCACATCCATTTACTCAATTTTATCTCAACTAATAGTTGACCCAGTTTTTGGAGAGCTCGATTCCAATCGATCGCTCGATCGCTCCCAATCGATCACTTAACATTCTACTAACAATAAAGTGAAAATCGATGTCTCTGAACTTCTGAACTGAATCGTAAACGAAGAACAGGGCAATAGAATAATAGAAGTACTCAAAGTATTTGTGCAATCTCGTGCAATAACAATTGATATCAATTTATTCACCACAAAGCATACGCTTGATGTGTGCTATCATCGCAAAACCAATCGAAATATCCATTTGAATGCATGCATTTTGTTAGAGATTCGCCATCGTTTTTGCATCCAGAGTCACAATCGAAAACACGAATCACACAGTTCTCACTGGCTGATACTGAATATTATTTGGAACTATTGAGTATTGAATTCTTTTCTCCACAACTCATCCACTTTTCATTGGCTCTTCTAGACACAGTTCTCATTAAAGTTCTCATGAAAAGCTAATTGTTACTCTTTTTTAGCACTTACACTTTCAAAACTTACATCGATATTTCAGCAATGTTCGACTACATTCAAGTGTCGGTGCAGCCAAGTTTGAGATGACAAGCAGAAGGAATAGGAAAGATTTTAGAAGACTCATTGAAAAGGAAGATGTATTTAGTTTTATTGAGTAGCTAAAGATTATTGAGCTGAGATAAAACAGTACAGAGTAATTCAAAGTTTAAAGTAATTTAAAGTAATTATTTAATAGTAATATTTAATAGTAATAGTAATATTTAATAGTAATAAAAGTAATTTAAAGTAATTTAAAGTAATTTAAAGTAATTTAAAGTAATTTAAAGTAATTTAAAGTAATTTAAAGTAATTTAAAGTAATTTAAAGTAATTTAAAGTAATTTAAAGTAATTTAAAGCAATTTAAAGCAATTTAAAGCAATTTAAAGCAATTTAAAGCAATTTAAAGCAATTTAAAGTAATTTAAAGCAATTCAAAGTTTAAATGAAATCCTTGAACATTAAAAGATCTATAAGCTTGAAAATTTGGATGAGAATTTTAATGAGAACTTTGCCTAGAAGAACCAATGAAAAGTGGATGAATTGTAGAGAAAAGAATTCAAAACTGAAATATAATGACAAGCTTATAAAGCAATTCAAGGTAGCATTTAAAAAAGAGAAAGGAAATTGTAAATTTGTTGAACTTGTTGAGCTTTTTGACTGAATGACGTTCATAGAAATTTTCCTATTTAATCCAATAGCGTGGGAGATGTGGATCAACTTGTTTAGCCCAAAATAAATGACTTTCTTTTCTTTTAGACTAATGATCTGTAATTAGATTTTAAAAAAAACGTGCATTTTAATCATCGCAAACTAAATTTACATATTGCATTTGTAGAAAAGTATAAAAGGTAATTTTAATTTAAAAATCCGTTAAAGCTTGAGTGGAACTTGAGCCACAGTGGGATCTAGGATAGCAATGTCCATACTTTGTGTAAATATTGGGTTGGTGAATTGAAAACGGCCGGGTATTGTCATATGTGACAGTTTGAGCACTTTCTTCGAAAGAAACCCATTTTGGTGTTAATGAAAAAGTTGTAGGGAATCAAAAATTAAGCTTATATCCAAATTTCCAAAAAGATACACTTGGTAGTTCCACTTAAAATGCAAGTTTTGTGAAAATTCGTAAATTTATTCTGTGTGTTCTTTGGGCGGCTGCGTAATCGCTCGTCGTCTGGC